TCTCACACCGATGTTTCTCTCTCTCCCTCTCTTCCCCTTCCTCCCCCCCCCCTAAAATTCAATAGAAAAAATATTATCTTCAGGTGAGGAGTAACAAACAACAAAAACAAGACAGTCTCCTTTACAACACTTAACAACCACACTCAGAAAATTTAGCACTGTCACGAAACTTTAATCTACGTTTAAATCCCCCAAGGAACAATTTGAATGCCTAAACCCTCCACAACGAGCTGGACCACCGAGCAGAACCAAGGCCCTCCTCTGGCAAAGGCTGGGTGGGATGGCTACAGGCCTGAGTGCGGCCTTAATGTGTGAGGGACGTCCTAGGGTGCAAGACTCCTTACCTGCTTGGGAGGGACTCACTCTGCTGCTTCTTTCATTGTAGCAGATGAGATTATCTAACAATCCCTCCTTTAAGAAAACAATTTAAAACAAAGCAACAATTATGTTTACATTTCAGAACCAAATCAAAACAAAACAGAACACCACCTTCGCCCCAAATTTTCTTCTAGGGTGTCCTGATAAAATCTTCCTGTGGGTACATGTAAAACAAATCCCTCCAAAGAGGCATGACATGCTGACACACACCATGGCAAGGCAACAAAAACCGCTGTCGTGTCATATGGTTGCCGTGGCGGGGCAGTATCTCATTTCCAGTACTTCGCGCTCAGAGACAGTTCCTCTGAAAGATGCCTTTGTGTTCTCGCGACTGAACAAAGATGAACTCACAATGTAGTAAATGTCAGCTCATGCCAATTCATCTGCCAGTTACAATTAAAAAATATACCTCTTCCTAACACAGCAGGTCCACAAATAATGTTGTTATGGCCAACAATGTTTCGTTAGAACGTTGGTGAAATGTCACAGAAACTTAATTCTTGTTTATATCAATTAGCCTATGGTAAGATTGATTTCATTATACATTGACTCACTTAAAGTCACAGAATCTCTTGACATTAAATGAGGACTTACTGTACATAGCTCCAAGCCAATGTCTACCACCTAAGACAACATTTCTCAAAGTGGGAGCCACGGACCCCCCACATCAACATGCGGAACTCATTCTAAGTGCTGGTTCCCAAGCGTCATCTCAGGCCTACTGACTTAGAATTTCTGGGGCTGGAGCCCAGGAATGTGCATTTTAAAAAGCATCCCAGGTTATACAAAGCACAATTATATTGCCGAACCACTGAGCAAGGCTTTAACCTGAGCTTAGCTGAAGCTTAATATCGAAAACTCTGTGGAATAAGAATCAGATATTGAGAACCAATTTGTACTGTTTCCTATGGCAGTGGCTTTTAACTGTTTTGACCAAAGTCCTTACAAAAGAATATATTCTATATTATGACACAGAACACACATACACACACAGTAAAAAGTAATGAAACAATATTTATCCTTATTACTTGTGATGTACACTGCTATCTTCTATCTACTCTATTTCAATTTTTTAAAAACACTGAACATAACCCACCAAATCTACTCCACAACCCTCTAATGAGTCACAAACTGCAGTTTTCAAAACACGGCTCTGTAGCAAACAACTGAAAAGTAAAGCTAAAGTGAGTGAGCATAAACCAAGTGAGTACAACATCACACATAGTGATCAAACTAGATTTTAGAAAGATATTCTGAAAATATATACATTTAGCTGGACTTGGAAGAGTTTAATCATAATACTGATAACCACATGAAATAAGTTTCATTTAGACTGATTTCAAATCTTACTACTTTCGACGAACAATTATGGGCTTTAGGATGGAGTGCACTGGAGTGAAAATCTGGGGCAATTTCAAGCCTGGGAGTCCGGAAAGCTCACAGAAGATGTCCAGACCCCGGCTCTCCCGCGTCACAGAGATGGAAGCATGATAAGCCTTCGTTTTTTAAGCCATAAAATGAGGCAAATAGCAGCATCTATCTTGTAAAGTTGCTATGAATATTAAATAAGATCATCCACAAAAATTATTATTACTACTATTCAAAGATAAGATGTGTTTGAACAAGAGTTATACCATGTTTTTTTAATTTACTGGTTTTTTTAGAGAGAAAAGGAGAGGAGGAGAAAGGGGAGAGAAAGAATCAGAGAGAGAGAGACTGTTGTTCCACTTATTTATGCACCACTGGTTGCTTCTTGTTTGTACCCTGACTGGAGATTGAATCCACAACCTTGGTGTATTAGGACGACATTCTAACCAACTGAGTTACCCAGCCGGGGCCAGGAGTTATACTATCTTAAAAGAATAATTTAAAAAATGATTAAATAAAGCTTCTTATGTAAGTTTTTCATATAGATTACTGTGTGCACAAATGTACTATATACCTGGCATTATCCTTCTCTTGATAAACACACACTGAGCATTTTCCAAGCAAGACATTCTGCTAAGTACTGGAGTTACAAGAGGCACGTGATATGGTACCACTTATGAACAGCCTGTAATCTAGTTAGGACAACAGAAAGAAATGTAAATACCAAATCACATGCCAAGGGCTAAATATCACAGGTGCTGAAAGGGGAGTATAGTCCCCAGAGGTGGGGGACCCAGGCGGGGATGAAAAGGTGGGGGTTTGAGTAAGTAGAAAGGAGGGAGGAGAGGATGCCAGAAGAAGAGAAAAATGGGAGCAAAGACAAGGGGGACCAACTACGCGCCCAGTATGGCTGGGGCAGTAAATCGTCAAGACAAGGTCAGAAGTAAGAGCCAGTTTGGGTACCAGGACGGGGCATTGGGTGATTAGGAAGATCCCTCTGGAGGTGGAGTGTCGGTGCAGTAGCTGCTGCAGAGGGTGGGGCATTCCTAGGAGAGGTGGTCTAGTCCAAGCCACACAACAGAGGGGGTAGCACACGCCCCCGGGCATCAGCGACCAATACTGCAGAATTCACCAGTTAACAGAAGGATGTCAACTCAGAAAAACAGGGTTCCAAAGAATGTTGCCAAGGTTTCTGTAGCACCTCTTTAAAGCATTGATCGATTCGGTCTCCAGCATGAAGTTCTCTGCTATGAATACATTAACCTCTGGACATTTTTCAAAATTTTAAGTAAACAATCCCTATCACTCAAATGATGTTACTTACCTTGTTCTGGTTCTATTCATTCTTTGCTCACCAAGCAACCTGCTGACTGAGAATTCAGCTCACCAGGTAATTTGATATGGCGAAACATGCCTTGATAAGGGGCCTTAAGCATTCCAGTCATTGGAAAGGGTATTTCCCATAACAGTGTCTAAAATGACCTGCCACTCATCCATCAGACTTGTGTAAATTTGGTTATATGTATCTATCAGCAAATGTCTGGTCATCCTTTGATGCTCTGGGAAGGTGCCAGACCCAATAAGACTGAGGGTCACCTGGACAGCTACTTTAAAACACGTTGGAATGGGTAGCTGGCTGCAATCAAGCCCTCTCGTGGGCAGCCCTGTGGTGGTTGCCCTTTCTCAGACACAGGCTCTCATATTAGAATAATCTGGGAAACTTTCAAAGATCCATGCGCAGGGATCGACAGTTTCAGAGATGTTAAAAGCCTATCCACGGTGCAGAGGACATGAATTCTAATCATTCATGCTCCTCATTCCTAAGCAGAGATGAAAAGGATACTGCAATGCACTGCAGTTGAGAATATTTCTATTTCACTTACATTTAGGAGATTCAACTGTTTTATTCTCTTTGATCTCCCTTCAACAGAGGCCATAGCTTTAAGCTGTTACTAGTTTTAAACTCTTAACTTGCTATTGATTTAAAACAGAGGTCAACAAACTTTTTCTGGAAAGGACAAGAGAGTAGAGTTTAGTCTTGGCAAGTCATACAGCCTCCGTCACAACCACTCAGTTCTGCAGCTATACCACAGAAACCCTATGTAAAGTCCCATGTAAGCAAATGAGCATGCCTGTCTTCCAATAGAACTTGATTTGCAGAAAGAAGTAGTGGGCAAAATTTGGCTAGTGGACTGCCTGGGAGTGTTTGAATAATTATAATTAGCATTCTGATCGTGTGCCCATTAATACAAAATTAGTAACAAAGAATGAAAATAAATACAAAGAGTGTGCCTAATCTTGGAATCTTATCCTTTGACTCATTGTCATCCTATTACCATTTACCAGAAATTCAAAACAGAGGCCCTGTTTATATTTAGGCCATATGGACCCATTCAGACTATTTCTGTCCCTGAGTACTACCGACCACCCTTCAAGCTTTCCTTAAGGAGAAACTACCACCCCCACCACCTGCACCCCCTATTACTCAACTGAAACCCTGCAAACCTTCATGCAAACCACAGGGGAACACAGCAGCACCACCCCAGCTGCCTCTTGCGTAGAAAAAGCCACAGATGTATATTTATTAAATGCATATTTGTATATTTCTTGTGCTGCGGGAAAAAATCCATCTCTGCTGTTTTTATAATACATTTTATTCCCCCATACAACTGATCAATGGGGTATAAATATACAACCCTAAGTTTGAAGTTTTGGTTAAATAATTTCTGTTCACCCAAGTAGATTTAATCATGGATCCTGCCCTAGCCATCACTTCTGGCTTCCTCCTAATCTCTCAAAACGCATAATGAATGAAAGTCAGGAGGGCAACATCATTTGCTAAGTGAGATCCGAGCATGGATATCACTCTTAGCCTCACAAGCTGTGGCTGCAATGGAGCACCCTACACAGCCATGCTACCCCTAATTCCCACTGTGACATAAAGCCCTCACATCTACAGAGCTAAGCATGAAGACATCTAGTCGTGCAGAATCCCCATGCTCCTTACCCTTGCTGTTCAGGGCAGTTTATCTCAAAGTCAAAATCAATGCCCAGATAGTGAAGACTAGTGTCAGGCAGGGTGTTCTCCTGGCAGAGGAGAGTGCAGAATCCCCCCTACACATGGCCAGTAACCAACTGATCTCACAGTTCGTCCACAGTGTTAAGGAAAACAAAACTAACGCAGGAGTTTCAGCCTTGGATGTGTATGAGCTCGGTTACCATGATTCCCGATTACGGTTCTGCATTGCACTTACTTGGAAGTGTTTTCAAGTATTCCCTTGACCTCATTCATTTCTTCCTTCCCAAAGTAAACAACGGTGAGATGAATTCTCCCATCTTGTTGGATGCACGTCTCCCTAGAAAACAAAACACACGTATGCCTGGACCTGTTTTCACAATAATAGGAAAAGACCCAAGCAAGTTCCCATTTTGTAAAGTGCAAAAGGGTCTTCAAGGAAACAGTGAATTGCCAGAAGGCTGGCCATCACAATGACCTGTATTTGCTTTTATCTTAGCAAGAAAATGAAATGTAAATGTGCGGATCTAGTCGATGAAAACCAGAGGCCAAAGGTCTAGTCACCAGAGGCCTAGCCCATTGGGACCATCCAGTGTCATGAAAAGGGCATGGATCCTCCCCTTCTTTGCCACAAGAAGTCTATGAAATAAAGAACACACAAATTCCATTTTACAGATGAGCAAGCTGAAGTCCAAAGAGGGTAAGACTAGAATCCTTATCTGTGACTTTTTTCTTGTGTGCCAGTAGTCTTCAAGACTGAATGCATCAAGATGAAAACACTCTTCTACACAGGACTCTAGAAACCCTTGGTGATACCCTGTGGTGCAACTGTCCAAGGGAATGATAAGGCAGAAGCACAGCTACAGTCTGTCACCCTTACCAAGCAGACAGCCACCTTCGCTACATCCCCCTTTCTCCTCTCTGTGACTCCAATTGCCCCAGGCATCTGGTACCTCACGCTCCAGGGTCCCAACAGTTCTCTCAGGCCAGGCCTCTGGCTTTGGACTGGTCTACACCTGCTTTCTCCACCAAAGCTTGTTATTTACCCATGTCCTGTTCTCTCAATGGTGACACCTAGCAACTGTGTACCTACCATGGTACGATCCTCTGCTGGGGGCTTACTTCATCTGTATGTGTAACATGTGTGTGCATGTACGTATATGTGATTGTATGTGTGTACATATATATGTATATGCAAATGTATGTTTAGGTGTACATACCTGTGTATACATATATATATGTATGTGTATGCATAATTTTACAGGTATTTTCTGGAAGCATGTTAATGGAAAGATTCAACTAGCATGATGATGTTTTGTGATACTTTGCATGTCCTTCCATTTTATTCCTTTTGTCCCTGTGTTAGCTACTTTCCTTAACTCCCAAACAACAATCCACGTCATAACTTTCCAGAAATCCCTGAGCTCTCATTGCAGAGGCCAATTTATTCAATGTGTTTTATAATAACATCAAAAAGGCGTGACTGTCTAGCTCAGGTGGCTGGGAAAAATCCAAAGAAATAGAAGATATAGTTCCTGACCTCTAAAAACTTACATAAGAAATAAAATGAACTCAAATAAAATAAGAACACCTCATGGCACTGATAAAAATTACAGAGAATTCAGAACGCACAAGAAATTCTGTGGGCTGAAAGAGCGGGGGCCTTGGAAAATGGACAGGGTGTAAAAAGGTAGAGAGGAGGAAGAAGGGAATTCCGGGTGGGAAGATTATACTGACCCTGAGCAAAGGCATGCAGGGCTCACCCAGCTCCCAGGCTTGGATGCGAATTCTGTTTATTTTCTGTGGAAGAAAGGTAAGAGCTGCCTCTGAAGCCTAGATGGTAGAGCCATTATTATTATTATTATTATTATTATTATTATTTTTAATCCTCACCCAAGGATATTTTTCTATTTATCTTCAGATAGAGTGGGAGGGAGGGAGGAACATCAATATGAGAGAGACACACCAACTGTACGAACCACAACCGAGTTCCATGCCCTTGACTGGAATCGAACCTAAGACCCATTGGTCCAAGGGCCAACTCTCTAACTGCTGAGCCAAACCGGCCAGGGCCGGATGGCAGAGCTCTCAGAAGCAGACAAGGGACACAAAACCGAGGCCTAGGCTGTAACAGTGTGCTTCAAAACTGGGAGCTCCCTTGGGGCCCTAGTTCCTGCAGACGAATTCATCGCCTCCCAACAATAAAATTCGCTGTACAGAGAAGACCCTTTCTGCACGCTTGCCAGGGAGAATAAAAGCACACACACAGCACCAAGTGCCCGAAAAACTGTGCTTTAACACTGTGTGTGCAGTTGGGAAAAATCCATCCCAGAATCATTAGAGGGTCACCCCACTGAGCCTGAATAAAATAGCGTTCTCATGTTTTTTTCTAGGGACATCTTCGCTGGCATTTTAAAGCACTTCCTGTTTTCAAGTAATAAAACAGACACATTGGACCTTTGCTTTTCATTCAGCCGAGGCTTCCCAAGAAGGCAAAGCAGAATTTGTTCAGAGGTCTACTCCAGGGTTCTAGTCCATGTATTATTTATTCCTTCCTTCATTCAACAAACAATAAACAAGCAAACAACATACCATGTGCCAGCTACTCTACCAGAGAAGCTTTAAAAAATGAATAAGACACTTCTGCCCTTGAGAAGTTCTCCATCTATTGTTCAAGCCTGAAACTGTCTCTAGTGCAATAAGCAAATGCTCAATGAGAGAAGGAGCACAGCGTTAAGAAACATCACCGTCTGCCTGAATGGTCTTGTAAGGTTTCTATTTTTCAAAAGAATTCTGACTAGATTCCATCCCAACGATGTGAATGAGGAAGAGTGTGCATGTGGGTGACTCTGTACATGAAGCTATCTGTGTTTTGCCATAATTTTTTGTACCTGGACGCAGCCTGCCTAGATGCTAACTTGGTTGTACGGTGTATTATTCTTGTTGCGGTCAGGTTTAAGAAGAATCATGTATGGTCCCTGTTAGGGAACCAACCATCCAGTTTGCCTGGGATTCTCCAGGTTTTAGCACTGAAAGTCCACATCCCAGGACACTCCTCAGTCTCAAGCAACCTGGGACAAATGGTTACCCTGCCTACCTCAGAGACCGGATAGTGTAGTGAAAGAAACAGACAGCTGAAGAGCTACAGTACAAGGCAGGAAGCAGTAACTGCAGTTACAGCTGGGTAGTCGACAACAGGTATTTACCTTTTAAAGGACAATGTTTTAAATCAATTAATTTCAAATAGTGATAATTGCAAACTATGTACCAAAAGTGTGGAACATGGCAAAGGCTTTGCTATCAATAAATGACCAATGAAAGGGACACACTCTTCTGCCTAAACATCACGAAGAGGAGGGAGGCCAAGGAAAGAAACAGACGATTCTATTTTAGCTTCATGTGGTTCCAGCTCCAACAACTACCTCCAGAAGAGGAGCTGCAGAAGCAGCAGGGGTGGGGAGAAGGCAGCCCAGGGGAGAGATGGGGGCCCCGACTCCCACTTCAGGATCTCAGCACGGGAAAACCCACAGTGGAATATTTGGTCTCGCCACAGCATAAGTAGAGAAGAGAGACAGAACTAACTTAATCATGCTTTATGAAGTAACACCTGCAAAACGGCTGTGCTTGGCAGAACCAAAGGACAAAAGACCATCACATGTAGTCAAGATCTGTTGTTGGAGCAGAAAGAGGAGAAGAGATAAGAAATGCTGACAGCCAGATGAAGTATCTTATGCATGTCTCCCTGACACACATGTACCTTTAAATAGAGGGCCCAAACCGTATCTTTGCTCCTCTTTTCAACTTGGGGGAGTTTCGGAAAGAGCTGTTGAAGCCACATAAATGAGATGAGAAGTAAACAAATGAGGACAATTCTCTCTGATGTTCCAGCCCTTAACTGAGGGCCCATTCTGAGAGCCCAGAAATCTACCCCTCAGGGCAGATCCATCCACAAGGAGGTAGTGAGACTGGTGCAGCTCCTAGATCCATCCCAGGACTCAGAAGAGCCACAGGAATTGGGAACCTCCATCAGGGGCTGCACAAATCCCCAGCTGAGATTTTTCTCTCCTTTATCCATTCTTTTAGACTACAAATGAAGTAAATAGGCTAAAAATGAAGTAAAGAGAACAAGAAATACCCTGTCCTCAGAATATCGCTGGGCGTGGGACACAAACAGTACTGTCAAGACGGGGGTAGTAGCCAAGAAGAGTCCACCCTTACTCAGAGCAAACAGTCTGGGTGGCCCTCTGTGTGCCAAGCAGAAGAAGGGTGAAGACAAACATCACAGCTACCACTTTCAAGAATAACAACAAAATTAAAGGAAGAAAGGGAAAGAGGGAATTAAGAAAGTAACAGTGTCCGAAAAGCCAATGAAAAACCTAGTCTGAAAGAAAATATAGCTCAAACAGAAGAAAATGTCTTACAAACGTCTAATACTCTCTTAACAAAAATGTGAATTCCATTTTTAAAAGTTCACAGAGGAGATGACGAAAACAAGAGATTACGGTTCACAGGCACATTCTATACTCAGGAAGTACACTGATAAACAAAACAAACAGAAGTAATAATTTAAAATTCCAAGGTGCAGAATAGATATATCTGAAAATCAAATTCCTCACATAAAGGGAAAGCTTATGTGAACGCAGATAAAAGACAAAGGCATTAAAAAATACAGAGAAACTAAAAAAATTGAGGAGACCTGAGAATATGCGATTGTGTCTGCAAAGCACAGAATCCAACAAACAAAGCAGGACAAGTACTCAAATTAGAACAGAAAAAAAAAAGTTCCCCAAAATAGGAGAATCCACACAGCAAAATAGGAAACTAAATTACAGGAAAATCTGAGCCAGAACAATAGACATTGAGCTGAGACATATCCTGATTGAGTTATTATGATTCAAGACTAAAGAAGGAATTCTTTGGACGGTCAGGCAAAAGTAAGTCATTTTCAAGAGACACAAAATAAAATTGTCCTACCGCTTCTTCATGGTACCATTAGATGCCAAAGAATATCTACAAAGTCCTGAGGAAAAAAGGTATCCTCCCCAAAATTTTAAGTCCGGCCAAGTTATACTTAAAGTATCAAGATAATAAGTAGACATTCTATTCTCAAGAACTTATGATCCTTCTTGAAAGAATTTCTTGACCATGAAATATGGCCAACCAAGGTCTCAGGCATGAAGAAGCTACTGTCAGAGGGCTGCTAATGAAAATTAAATTCACTTAAGCATAAGAACTGCGGTGATAAAACAAAATGTAAAGGTTGCAACCCTGACAAGGTAAATATAATACAGAGCTAACTGAATTGGGCAATGGAACACAGGAGAGGGAGAAAGCATAATGTGCTGAATTCCTCTTCTTGCTGTAATGTTTCAATCAATCCAGTCTAAAATTAAAATGTGTAGCAAAAAATACATAATCTCTGTTTTGCATAATCACTTTTGTAACTTCAGAGGAATCTCTTAGGAACCACTATCTCTTATAGTTGAGAAACATTTTCTTAAATATCCAGCAATTTCTTCTGCTATACTTCAGGTTCTCCTCTATAAATTTAACTAAGGTAAAATTTAATTATTTAATTAAAAATAGAATATGTAGTATATCTCATGTTGTATTAAATTATTCCTAGCTAGCAAGTTATTCTTACATATGCAAATTACACAAAGAAAGGTACCTAGAACAGTATTCAATTAATATTAAAAATTATTAGTTTTGGGAAGCAGGGTCAGGAGGGAATTTTTAAATAACTTAATCCATGTTATGTTCTATCTATATTGTATTAACATCTCATAATAGCCATGTATCACTTTTACAAACTAGAAAGTCATGTTTAAATTATAAAAGCCAGAAAAAAAACTGTCATTGAATTTTTAAATAAAATATGTGGTAATTATATAAAACAGAGAGAATCCAAAAGAGGGATTCAGTGCCTGCCTACCACAGTTAATAATTTCTAGTATTGTGATGAAAGTGACTTCATAAAGACAACATCAACTATTTAATAAATAGCCCCTTACATTTTCTCCCAATACTTTTTATGGTCATAGTAATTGCATTTAAATATTTAATTGACTGGAGTTTACTTTGGGTTTTGGTGTGAAGTAAGAATTAAATGTTTTCTATGTTTAACTAGCTGTGTCAAAGCCAGGCACTGAACAATCCATTCTCTGCTGGCTGATCTGAAAAGCCACCTTCCCTGAGTTCTGATATAGAACTAAATATTCTCAGTTTGAGTACCATCTCTCATCTCATTTTTTTTCAGAGACCTCAATGCACTCAGAAACCATGGACGACAGAGCAAACCCCAACTCAGGCTTCTGTTCAAGCACCCACTGTCCTGGGAAGCCTTTCTTGTGCCCCACTGTCCCTTGTGTCTATTTCTGCCATAGCTTCTGGCTTCATGTGAGCAGATTCACTCCCATGAAGGCAGGCGCTACATCTCCAGCTCCTCCTCAGCCCTACATTTGGTGGAGTGTCCGGCACACACACAGGCCCTCTGAATACCCCACCCACCCTCTCCTGCCTACATGGGCACCTCAGGAGTGACAGTCAAGAAAGAAAGCCCTAAGGGTTTTTGTTGGTTTTTATTTTTTTTTTTTCCTCACCCGAGTACATTTTTCCATTTTTTGTACAGATAGAGTGGGAGGGAGAGAGAGGAAGAGAGAGAGAGAGAGAATCATCGATGTGAAAGGGACACATCGAGTGGCTGCCACCCGCACGACCAACCAGGGCCGGGGACAAACTGCAACCGAGGTACATGCCCTTAGCGGGAACCGAACCCAGGTCTCTCCGGACCGCAGGCGGACGCTCTAACTGCTGAGCCAAACCGGCCAGGGCTTTTTGTTGGTTTTTAAAACATTAACTAGAATTACAGTTTCACTTCACCCTCCCAATTTTGGTGACTTGTAAGCGACTTGATTTTACTTTTTACAGTATTTCCCTTCTAGGTTTATTTCTGTTATTAATACTTGCAATACTCATGGTACTAAGGCAATCCAATCTTACACATACTGTGTTTACACACACACACACACACACACACACACACACACACACGCCAGTCATATATATATATATCTTGCTCTTCCAGGCTCTGGAGTCCCACAGAGGGGCCTTGGCCCTCCACTGGGCAGACATCCCATCAGCGTAAAGACTACCTCATCGAGCCCAGCAAGCTCAGAGACTGGACCGTGTGCTGAAGCAAATCTCAGGGCCCTTAATCCGGCAAGCTCTAGGCAGCTTCTCAGCCAAAGGAACTTACTATGAACTAGTTCTAGGAATGCGCACACCAGCTTCTGAGAGTAATGATTTGACTTCATGCTTAATGCCAACCACAGGTTCGGTCCTTCTAAGGATGCCATGCTTAATCAACCAGAAGCACCCTGCCATTCCAAGGAAAACAGAGAGAGAACACAGAGACACCAAAGGGAGGCTGACAGAATCCAAGCCACACAGACACTTCCGAACTGGAGCCAGAAGAACGGTGACTGTGCCCACAGGGGTACTCCACAAACTGGGGGCAGATGGAAAGATCGCCCGGCCTGCTCTGTGTGACATCACAGGAAAGACAAAGGGGTTACGACAGTGTTCTTCAACTATCTGAAAGGCTATGGTGTTTAAGAAGAAATGGGTGTGTTCAATCCTTTCTTCAGAGGTTAGAATGGGGCCCACTGGGTAGAAATGACAGGGAGGAGGACTTTGAGTCCTAATAAAAGTGGCCTTCTATCCAGAGCTGGTCAACACAGAGGCAGCCTACCGTGTGAAGTATTACATGGTACACGCACACATCGCATAGAGAACTGTATGTCAGGAATGTTCTCAAGGGATTCTGCACTGACTGTTCTAAGGGGGGATTAGACCAAATGACCTCCAAAGGTCTCTTCTAAGACTACTGGATTCTGACCTTAAAATTTAATTGAAAAAGGGTTACTCTTCAAATGTAAAAATTACAAAAAGAGTACATTCATTACCCAGAATTTTGAGAAGTATCAACCATAACCTTATACTGATCATTACTGGCTTTTAATAATGTGAATTTAATGATAAAAGATTAAAAATAAGTTTGAGCTCGGTCAGTGTTGCTAAGTTGTTTGAGTGTCATCCTATGGACTGAGAGGTCCTGGTTAGACTCCCGGTCAGGGCACATGCCCAAGTTTCGGGCTCATTCTCTAGTAAGGGGCATACAAGAGGCAGCCGATCGATGTTTCTCTCTCTCTCACATTAATGTTTCTCTATCTCTCTCCCTTCCTCTCTTTCTAAATAAATAAATAAGATTGATTTTCCAAGATTTATAATTAGACACCTATGACTTTCTGTCTTTAAAACAAGCTGGCTAAGTTAGCTGATTAACCTGAACCAGTAAGTGAATGTCAGCCACAGTAGTTTACAAGCTCCAAAGTTGCGCAAGGCCTTAAGACACACATGTAAAAACTACATTCCTGCATCTGAAAACAAAACCCCAGGTAGTCTTCTTGAGTAGCTACAGAAATTAGTTATCGGAAACCTCTTGGCACAATTCTAAATTTAATCTCCGGAGATTAAATTTAGGAGACGGAGATTAGAATAAAAAGTAGATTCTGATTCAATCCATTCCAGCTGCTGCTAGAGCAGGGTAGCAAATGAAGCCAGCCTCCAGCACAGCGAGTCCAGCCTCCAGGGCAAGTCCATGGACACCTGGCACTGCCTCTGAGAGTCTGAGAGAGGGCCCACTCTACTGGGGCTATCGTATGGCCCCTTCTGTCCCCAAACCTGAGCCCAAACTCAAGTGAGAACTGAACACGGTAGGCAGGGAGGCCCTCTTTGTGGGTCCTGATGAAAACCCAGGCCCCCCCTAACGTTTCCCTTCTGAAGGTAAATCTGCTTCTCTGGCAGTTTTCTAATTGCTTTAGGGAAAAGCAAACAAATGATAAAGTTGCTATGAAGAAATCAGAGTTGAACAAGAAGAGAAAGAAGCCTTTGTACTTGGCAGGGGAAATGAGGGAGATGAGGGGAAATGATATCAGCGTTTAACATGCACGACAGGGAGGAAGATAAACAGGTGCAAATAAACAAACCTGAAATTCTGCATGAACTGTCGGAACTTGTCCACCCTCTTTGCCAGTGGCACAATAATGTTGATGAGTGTGTAGGCCATGTTGAGTTTTTCTTTTTTTACTTTCATGATAGGGCCAAACGGTCGAAACAAGACAAGGCGTCTGAATTCGTGCTTGTGGTCCCCTTTGAACGTGAGCTCATACAAAGTGCCTTTATCCTTTTCTGTGCGGTAGATTCCTATTAACAGAAATATAAGAAAAGACAGTGTGATTAATACAGCAGACACCTAGCACAAAATGCCTTTAAAACACACATACACACACACACACACACACACACATTAAATTCAGATTAAATCTCTACATCTAATAACTATGAAAAAACTCAAAACGCTCCCACTTAAAAAAATCCCCAAAGAAATCAAAATACCCATTAATAGAAAAAAATCACAGTTATGAAGACTTCATAAAAACATGAGGGAAAGTTTGTAACGCTGGATACAAAACTATATTTAGCAGCATTAAAGAAAGAACTATAAAGAAATATGTCAAAATAAGACTGGCTATGATGTGGAGTGGGGCCATATGTCTTTTATTTTCTGCTACTATCTGCATTTTCTGCAATATGTTTAGATAATTACAATTATTATATTTATTTAATTTAAATACTGCATTAATATTATTTCTTAAAAATTACAGCCATTTCAGGTGAACGGACCATAGTGATCTATTTAAGGTAACCTGGAGTGGCTCAGGGCCAGTCCTATGGGCCATGTGACCCTCTGGAAGCATCTGGAAGCATTAAAGCAGAAAACACTTAAAATACCCAGCACTGTGGCAGGCACACATCTTAATTCCATATCGTCCTTCCTACCCCTGAGAAGCAGCATGAGAACCAGCACAGCCTGGTGCACCAGAGCAAGTCTATTTATGACCCCCGCATCCCCAAAATGAGTTCCACCCCCACACCACTGTTACTGAAAGTCCACACAGTCTCACGTGTCAGGTTGAAGATGTGACCCAGCATTTCAGCTCAACTCTCAGGGTGAGCCTCCCCAGGGCCTGGCCCCACAGGACTTCCCTCTGGAGTGAGCCCAGGGTCGTGGGCACCTACCCTGCACTGCCTTCCCAACATCACCGGTATGGTGGCTGCTCTTTCTACAGTTAAAAAAAATGGTCAAATTCAACAAAACACCAGATAAGCTTCCTCCTCTCTTATCTCTGATTTACCATGTTTTCTGCTCCACACCCCTTCCATCCCCTTAATCCCCACATAGCTAGAAAGCACCATCCAGGCTCTGAGTGGCTACAGAAGTAAATGTCCAGGGAAACTGTTGGCCTGGAGTCAGTTTCAGTCTCAAGGCCCCTGGCAAAGCACTTCTCTCTGCTTCCTGACTCCGCGCCCTCTCTCCTTCTGAGAGAACTGCAGGTCTCCAGACCTCGGCCGTGTGCCCCTCTCTGTTCTCTGCCTCATCATTTTTCGTCCTAGAGCCTGTTTTACATCCTTTGATCCTGTTCAGAGTTTGGATCTCCTGCAGGTGCGACGGAGAGGGCTTTGGGATCGGCATGTCCCTCAGCTGTCCCACAGCCTGTCCGCAGGTGCAGAATGTGCCGTCCGCTGGCAGCGAGTGCGGGGGACCTGAGCACGGTGATGGGCAGGTGCTCAGCAGCCCTCAGAGGCGGGGAACTGGCTGAAGTTCTGCAGAGCTCCTGCTGGAACAGAATCCAGGGTCCCTGCAGGGCCTTCATGGAAGAAAGGAGGAGGTTCACTTCTTAGGAAGCTCCAAGTACCCCTGGGGAAATTGAGTGGTTCCCTCAAGGCCTGTTCATGCTCTTAGGCAACTCGTGCTGGGTGAGGGAGCAAAGGGCTCTTCCCCCACCACCAGCGTGTCTACACAGCCGGTGAACCACGGACTCCCAGGGTCCAACAGGGCTGGGCCGACAGAAGGAGCCGAGCTCAGTGTCTGCACAGTGGAACAGGCCTGGTCGGCGGCTGCGTCCCTCAAACCTCCGGTACTCCTCAGCAGCGTGTCCGCTCCAGCCGGCAACAGACGTGGAAAAGGCAGCTGAGGTTTACCGTGCAGGTAAATGGACGTGGGCCGGGGTTGTTGTTGTTGTTTTGAAATGAGTCATTTTCTTTCTCAGCACCGGGATAAGAATCATTAACTTTGAAAACCCCCAGATTTGAAAATACAGATAGAAACATACACAAACCCGTCTTAAGAGATGGACATCTATTTAAGAAGGTAATGATTCTTATTACTGTGATTCCCACCCTCACGTCCGAACGGCTGCCTCTGCGGAGCGTGGCCGGCCGGGGAGGTGACAGCAGCTCGTGGGGTTCCCAGGTGGGGCGCCCCTGCCACAGGGAAGGCCCGCACACCCGGTCACCTTGCAGCCATGACCTCCGCGGCTTTCTCATGGTCTCCCACATCCTACGCCCTTGAAACAGTTATCACATCAACTTTTTAGCATATTTCCCCATACTCTGCCTAATTAAATTAATTATGGCTTATACACCTGATTTTAGATCCCTTTATTCTATCTATTTTAAATAAGGTATTTAAAACTCTCTTGCAACCCATGTCCACTGAAACCCACACCCAGCTATCTGCCTACTACAACCAGAGGCACACCTCCCACACCTGGACTCAGTCATCACTCTTGGTCTTCTTGTAACATAAAGGACAACGCCTAACTGGACCGCATGCCTTCTAGAACTCTTGAGTGGCGGGAGCACGAAGGGACCGAGAGAAGGGGCTGAGCATTCTGAGGCAGGCATGGTTTTCCACCAATAAACTGACACACACAACAGCAAATGCAAAGCCAATCGGCCACAAACACCTTCCTTGTGATATTTTGTAGGACAGTATCATTTTTGTGCACTATGCAAACTGAAGATCAAAATAAGAACTTTGGAGCTAGCTCATATTTTGGTTTCGACACCCTGGCACCCCCTCCACCCCTCTTTCCCTCCATTCTCACTTAAAGTCTGGTGTTTCTGCTCCCTGGGCAAGCATCCTAATGCTGTCTCAGCCTACTTGCGGGGCCAGGCCCTAGGACAGCCCACCAGGTGGGGACATCTCCAGGTATCCAAGATACAGCTCCATGGTCTGCTGCAAATGTTTATGCCTTCAGCAGACAGGGAGCTAACCAGAGGCCGGCCCTCTCTCCACATCCTGTCTTCAATGTAGGACTTCAGAAATCATGAGGTCAAGGAAGAACCACTCCTAACACTCATCCTCACCCTCTCTCCACATGAGTGTGCATAGGTTGTAGCCAATGCTACATAAGCCCATAAATATCTCCACTTTCATCCCTGCCTCCCCACCTTCCCACATGGAGCCTAGGTCTGCCAGCTGGATCACTGCTGCCTTCTGCTGACCCGTGTTCCACTTCCAGGGCCCAATACATCCTGCACATATCCTTTGACCCTTCCTGGAGTACCCCCATAGTCCTGCCTTTCCCCCGGCTCAGGAGCCCACACCAGCTTCCCAAAGTCTATAGGATAAAGTACCAATACCATGGCCAGCTTTTAAGATCTTGTGGAATCTGGTCCCAATCTACTGTCCTCATTGTAAGTCTTGTAAAATCTGGGCTCCAGTCAAGCTGGTTTATACCGAGCACATACAACTACTTCCCCCAGGAGAAACTGGAACCCTCTTGCAATGCTGGTGGAAATAAAAAATGATGCAGCTTCTGTGGGAAACAATTTGGCGGTTCCTCAACGTCAAACACAGAATAATTATACAATCCAGCAGGTCCACTTCTGGATACGTACCCAAAAGGAATGAAAACAGAGATTCAAACAGATACTTGTACACACATGTTCATGGCAGCATTCTTCGCAACAGCCAAAAGATGGAAACAATCCAAACCTCACCAACAGATAAATAGATAAACTAAACACGGATTATGCACACAATGGAATATTACTGAGCCTCAAAAAGGAGTGAAACTCTCATACATGCTACAACATGATGAACTTTGAAAACACGTACTATGTGAAATAAACCAGTCACAAAAGGATAAATATTGTAAGATACCTCACTTGCATGAGGTACTTAAAATAGTCAAACTCACAGAGACAGAAAGTAGACTGGTGGTTGCCCAGGGCTGGGGGAGCAGGGAATGGGGAGTTAGTGTTTAACGGGTACAGAGCTCCTATTTGACATAATGAAAAAGTTCTAGAAATGGTACTGGTGATAGTTACAGTGTAAATGTACTCAATGCCATAAAACTGCACACTTAAAAATGGTTAAAATGGTAAATGTTATCTTCTGTGTATTTTAGTACAATAACTGCTCTCCTCTGAAAAGGCCTTGCACTTTCTCAAGACACACTTCCCCCGCAGTCAGCCTGACCCATCCACCTCCTAAATCTGTCCTCTTCCTCTTGGAAGATTCCATGACACTCTCAAGTCAATGTGACCGTGCACTCCTCCAGACACTTTGGTCTAAGGGCTTGCAAACTCTTCTTTGCTGAACTATGTCTTCGGCACATCGGGACATGAACGGACACCATCTAATCCAGCCTTCTCTTTTCACAGATGAGCACACTGAGACCAGACTTGTGGTTTTCCTACATTCACCAAACATGTTAATGACTGACTGGCACACACCCCTGTGCACGGTTCCCCCCCGCAGAGGTCACTTTTCATAGGCAACAGCAATAGCTCAGTATAGAAAAGCAGGAACATGAAATACAGAAGTCAGAATAAACAACAGAGAGTCTGCAGTAACTCTTACTTCATGTACCCACAAATCATCTTCACATCCACCGAGGGCTTCTCTTTCGCTTTAACACACAATGGTAACAGTTGCTAAACAACAATCTGAATTCACAGTTTACAACAAAAGTAATTGCTTTTGAAGGGAGGTGTTTTCATGAAAAAAAAAAAAAAATACTGCTAACAAGAAAAAGTGAATATAAAGGAAAAGAAAATCTATAACAGGTAGAAATGAGACAGTAGTCAATAGCGACAGGTCACCTCCTGACAGGAGGGGAAGAGGCAAAACATCATTGTAAAAATAAAATTTAAATGTCTGAGATAATTTACTATAAAGAAGAAATGATCCACCCATGTAAACTGCCTCTGAAATACTGCAAAGAGCAAATACACCCTCTCTCTGTTACTGCGAGAGCACACTACCCTTACCCTGTTCAAGAAAGAAAACATGGAAATGCCTGAGAAAGATTTTACTCCAAAATGATGCTTCAGGTATCTAGAAAACTCTG